TGTGCAGCGCATTGTCTCTGAGGCGTACACTTCTCGTCAGCATTGTCACGCCGTTGTCAATTAGCCGCTTTTGAACATTGCCTCTGTCTCCTCTGCACATTCTTCCTAGACTCTGCCTTCTTTTGCAATCCAATTATTAGCTATGAATGTGGGCAGCTGGTTGACAAAACTAGCCCTCGCCTAATGTCTGATGACCAGCCTTACTGGCACGCGTTGACCAGAACACAGCTGACTGGGACATGTATAAGGTTTACATTAAGGAGTAGGTTTAGAGTTACCCAGAGACAGCTGCTTATCTCAAATTTTCGAAACCACATACTTATGCTTATAGAATTAATAATGCTATAGGTTATGTGATTTACAAGACAATTAATCATTTAATAAGCACTCATCGACTTATTTCAATTACTGAACCCATAAAAGCACAAATTCAACAATATTTAGTGATTTCCAGTAAAGGATTTTAGAAAATTCTCAAAAACTTTATTAATTACAAAAAATTGATGCACTTACTACAGGTTCTTTTTGAATAGCCTTTGAAAATATTTGGTTATTGCTGCTTTTATGGGTACTGGTTTTTGAAATACTTAATACATTAAGGGAATGTAAATGCCAGCTGACAGATAAAAGAGTTTACACGAAGGCTTAACAAGCTTACAAGATTGCCAGAAAAAAGTGCCCACGTTTTCTAAAAGATTATAAACTCTTATAATGTATTATCAGCTCCAACAAAAGATAAATGTGATAATATAGTTATTGAACTTCATGATCATCTGACGATTCTATTTAATCAATAAATTTCTCTGAATTATTCTAACGTAGGATCAGTTGCTATATTGGATTTATTTAATAAGCCATCATAAGTCATTGAAGGTAATGTTAAGCTTAACATTAAAATTTATTGTAGAATTTGTAGATTTTCTTTTCCATTATATAATTACATTAAAATTTACACAAATCTTAATTACAACGTCTTTAATTTTGATGAAGCATTGAAACATTTTAAAGAACATAAATGCGCAGTATTTGTAAATCAAAATGCCTATAATTCAACATTCGTTTTATATATCTCTGATTATTGATACAATAGGTTTACTTTAAGTTTTCTTCAGCAGCTAAAACGGTAAGGTCTAGGAAACTGTTATTTGAACACAAGTTTCAGTGCTTGTATGAGAAATCTATAACCTTTAAACTTAATTCGTGTACGCTAAAAATAAGTAAACCTGAGACAATTTTTTTTTAAATTTCTTTGGGCCTTTTTGAAAAGATATGTTTTTGTAATTACTTTGCGTAAAGTATTTAAGTGTTCTTTGACAAATGTGACAAGTTAAAACACACCCATAAATGAAATGAGTCAATTAATCAGGAAAACGATATCAAGAACGGATTTGAATTCAATAGTTTCTCATACATTTCAATGGCAATCGTTTAAAAAACGACAAACGTATAGAAATTGTATCGAAAATATATTATTTATCGCCCAGTCTTTTGCTTTCATTGCCCTTTGTAACATATCTACGGTATTTTTCTGACGTTAAACGACATATTAGGTATATTTTCTATTATTTTTTTCTGAAATTAGAGCAAGGAGGAAACCTTTATCTGGCTGCATTGTGTGGCATTAATCGGTTTATCAAGACAAATTAACTTCTTGAGTAAACAAATTTTTGTTAAACTTTAAGACCAAGTTGTAGTTAATATTTAAGAAATTATAATAAAATTATGAGTAGAACTTTTAATGATTATTTGATTGTACAAATAGAAGGAACAATCAAATGTTCTCATTCGTAAAGCATTTATTATATTATAGTAGATATTGTCGAGATTAGTTCCTGCTATGCTTATGGCATTAAAATAGTTTTTTCCATGACCCTTTAGTTAGACAGTTCCATAAATTATGAAAATAAATTAAATTTAAAGTACAAATTTTCTCAAGTTCTTGTGCTTGTTGGAATCGCTGTTTCTTTTGATAAATAGCGTAACAGCCTCTACTAAGTTTATACACAAACCGTCCATTGAAACTAAGTTTGATCGGCCATATCCACCTACTAGCTAATTAGAAACATGCCGCTTGTTGTTCTTATGGGTGGGCGTTACGCCCATTTGCCATGGTTTTTATATTCGTTATTTTATTCAAACTCCTGGTGAATTATTAATTTGAAAACAAAACTGGAAAAAAAGGCAGAAGAGCCATTTGAAATTTGTTTATTGAAATATTTATGTATTTTAATAGTTGCTTTGCATGCATTTGACGTTTAAATGCTTAAATATTTATGCGTTTTTTGTTGCTTATATCCATTTCGCCCCCAAAAAGCAACATTTCTCGCATCTCTCTGATCGCTCGTTGAATATTCATAAGCTGGCTGCGCCTTGTGGCGTCATTCCGTTGGCTTTTGGGGATCAGCCACTGGGGCGGGTCAAGATCTATGATGTCAAATGCCTTTAAGCCAGACGTTGTTGTGTGTCTGTCTATTATTGTTGTTGTTGCTGTTGTTATTGTTCTTTGTTTGTGGCGGGGCTGCTGAGCCGAGAACCGCTGACATTTGATTTGAAGCTTTTCGGATCGTTGAGCGCCCCGTTGTGCCCATTGACAGTTATTAAAAGTCTACATTTTGGCCCATAATGTGCCGGGGAATATAATAATTTAGTAGTAGTAAGAATGGAACCGATAACCAAAAGAAGAACGTGTGCCCAGCTTTGGGATCCCATCGCTGGTCTGTGCGTGGGATTTCTAGGCCAATTTCAATTATAAACAAAACCCACCACAAGCATAATTCATAGTCCGAAAATCTGTATATTTATAACACGCGCTTCGGCCTTTTATGTGCGCCCAATAAGCGTCAGCACCTTGTCTAATTTGCTATGGTAATGACAAATTTGTTTATCGACCAGAGAGCTGTGCAAAATAAAGGAGAAGAGCATAAATCATATAAGTGCCCCCACAAAACAGACTAGTCATGGCTATCCAATGTTTAGCATTTAACATTTTTACAACAATGTATTGATGAGACGACTATGGCCGGCCGATCTCAAGATCTTTGTTGCATTCAAAAACAAACTGAAAAATCCTGTGGGTGGCAAAACTTGCGTCAGAGTTCACACAAAGCGCACAGCGGGCGGTACAAGCCAAATTTTTGGGCAAGGCATTCGACGTAAAAATCGATTAAACGCACGATGCAGATGGGGCCAGACCCCGAAACCGAGCCATGCCATTCAATCCAAACGTTTTCAATCTCTCTATAAGCGAGAAACGATGATTTGCTACGTCATCTGGCGTCGACGACACGAGCGACTGAGCCGCGATATAGAAATTAAAAAGGTTAACTAATGATAAACTTGGCTATCAATCGATTGCAAGGGGCAGGCACATCAACGGCATCCACACGCTGCCTCACTGCCTGCCGCCTGCTGCCTGTTTGCCTTTTAATATTCATAACTTAACGTGTGGGTCGCCCCCTTTCCCCCCATCTACCCTCGCATCTCCAATCCAGTCATCGCCATTTGCCGTTTCATGTGCGCCCCACGGTGAGATTTGTGTGCTTTTAATACTCACCGACTACGGCTTGACGCTGTGCAGCCCGTGGTCTGGTCTGTCAGTAAAATTGTTGCTGTTACGGTTGTTGTTATTATTATAACTGAACTGAACTGTTTTTTTTTTTTTTTCAAAACTCATCGTTTTCCAAAGTTATTAGTTCAGTTTTGTTAAACTGGTCAACTCTTGAGGGCCCCAACCAAACAAAATAGAGGAAACATACACATATACTTCTATACTGACATATATTTGTATGTAGTATGTCCCGCCGCCTGTTGCGCCAGCGAGTCCAAATGCCAAAATTGCTCAGCAGGCTTGACTCAGCAATGTGCTCCCTTGGAATCGTTTTGTAGGTCAGCCCATGTTTTCCAGATTACATGGGCAGCAATTAAAAAGGAAGGCAAACATGTGGAGCAAAAAATATGTGCGGGTGCGACAAAGGCTAGGCTCGAGAAAAAAACCCTAACGTATATCCTTAGACTGCAATATTTGTGCAGAGAAGCAAACAAGTCTCGACTATGCCAGGAAATAGATTAGGCAAGTTGTTGAGATCGCCATTTGTTTGTCCAAAATTTGTTATAGCTCGATAAATACCCGAAGAAGTGGTTAAACTTTGAACTACTAAAAAGGGAATAATCATACTTATTGATTGCTATATTTCGACTGATCCGTAAAACTTTGTATTTCTCAAATTTGACTTTCATGATTAAACGAATCCAATGCTACCATTAAATTTAATCATTTTCCTCCTTAGGACAGATCTTCAATAAACAATAAAGATTTATAAAAATAAATAAATTTGACTTTGAAAATTGTTGCTAATACTTAACGCATTTGATAATCCTATCTTTTGATTGATTTGTCGTCTCGGAGACCCAGAATCCACTGTATTTGATTATTTTAATTTTTGCTCTTTAATATGTGTATCACATCTGATTCCAAAAATTCCTTATATCTCATATATTTATTTTGTTTATTTACAGTTTATCCCAAAAATTCAAAATGAACCTCACCGATTGTACTTATAGTATGGGAAATGTTCTTAAATTATACTTTTAACTGGAATAGCGCAATTTTTAACTTGCATTTGCTGGCCATTGGTAAGTAGAAACCCGTCATAATTTGGTATTCCTTCTCTATAAGATATAAGTAATACATTGTTCAGCATCCCCAGCCCTTGACTGACAAAATGTTGAGAAAGGGAACAAAATATCGTGAGTCAATCTGTTAATAAAATTGTGTTTTTGAAAGCTGACAAACATATAAGCCCCTGGCGCTTGCCAATTCTCGTCGCTAATACTCATCTTGGTACATGGAGTTGCTTTGTACATTTTGATAAAGCTGTTTAGCCACTTTATAAATGATCTTGCTGGATACTGTTTTTTTTTTTTTTTGTTTTCAAATGCATTTTCGAAGCAACATTCTTTGCCTTCAAGTCGCAACTGAAATAAACAGATTCTGCGCTCACCTTCATTTTAATTGCCTCCACAATTTTGGCGGTTTTTAATCCAAGCCCTCGGAACAAAAGTTTATCTGGCCAGCTTGCACACTTAACGCTGGCGTTGCGGAGGCGGTGGGGGGCCAAAATGTTGTTGGTTGACAACCTAGTCAAACAGTTGCCGATTTCATGGAAACAACTATTGCATAAGGAAGCGCACACACAATCTTATTTTAAATTTTTGCAAGGGGTTTTGTTTTTACTTGTATTTATCTTTTTATTTAGAGCTGTCACAATTCGCAACACATTCCATTGATTAACATATGACTGGCAATGTTTTCGCACTTGAAATTGTCACACTCAGTGGTTTGCCGTCGCTAAAAACCCAGAGACGTTTTTTTATTTCGGAGCTATTGCTGAGAGAATGGTGGGGGGGAACTGCTTATCAGTATGGAGGAACGCGTACGCGTGGCATCCAAGTCCCCGCTTGAAGCGATAAGCGGTAAACGGGCAAGAGCTCCAAAACGCTCTTCTTTTTTTTGGGAACGAACGTACTGCGACGAAAAACGAAAAAGCGAGACGACGAGCGACGAGTTACGTACGAGCGAGCGGGCGAGCGATTGAGCGGTTGAGCGAGCGATCGACGTTGTTACACCTTCGAGGCCAGTGCGTTAACTGCCGCCGTCTAAGCCATGGGCACAGCACAGAGACCCAGAAACTCGCAGTCACGGCTAAAGCCTGTTGTGTGTGGATGAAAACAGAATAACAGAACAGCAGCCGCCACTGCCACTCCAGCAGCATAAAGCAAACACCACCAACACACTAACATATACGCACGAATACGAGTGTAAAAAACCACCACCACCATCACCACCGACAGCAATACCAATACCAGTTACCAAACACACATTGACAACCACTCGTCGAGTGGCTAGAAACCCGCTCAACTGGTTAGCTCAGCTTTAACTGTCCATGCGTCCGCTAGAGCCGGGGGTTGTGGTGATTGGTTGCCATGGCTGCGACTCTGTGGCAACGCCCCGCACTCAAGTAGAACGAGTTTCTGCTGTCCCCCATTTTGAGTGAATTCGCCGCCTAATCTCGCCGCAGCCAATTGATGAGTGCGCCGGCGCGTGCCAACTGAGTGCGCAATGGAGTTGGCTATCATTTTGAGCTTCAATGTATGTGAGAGTGTGTGACTGTGAGTGTGTGTGTGGGTGTGGGAGTATTATTTGTAGGTGTGTATGTGAGCGTAAGTGTGCGATTGGGTGGCTGTTTGTTGCTTGTAGCTACGCTTCACTGCAGCTTACCGAAGCAGCACTTGGCATCGCGCAATAAGAGAGACTGCCAGACGGCTGGACTGATGGACAGATGGAGAGACAAAGAGACAACTCGGACGGCCACACTTGACTTTTTGGGGTCAAACCGCTTGGCGGCTTGGCGGCTTGGCGGCTTAACAGCTCGCAGTTTTACACATGCACCGCATCTGCTTTCAACTTCTACCACCGACACCAACAATTGAAGAGGGCGGATATACTATATGTATATACATATATATGTATATGCATATACTATATGTCTGAATGATCTATCATTTTTCGAGTGTTTTATCATATCATAATACAATATTACTATACATATTTCATTTTTATGTTGCGGAAGCAAAGAAGCAAGGCAATATAATTTGCAAATTATATTTATTTGGTCATATGATATATTCATTTATACAAAGTATGTAACACCATAATTTATAAATGTGCATACATATGTATACTATATGTATACATAGTCAAGCAACATGACGAGACAATTCTGTATAGATATTTGGGGGCGTCTGTCTATCGATTCATCCGCCTGTATGAACGCTTGGATCCCAGCTTACTGCCATCGCCTTAATAATTTGTCAATCTAAGTCAATTTATAAATTGATTTACGACCTTTATAATAAGATTCATATTAAATGCTATATCTTTGAAGTTGTTTGTTTATTTATTTTTGTATACAAATGAAGTCCGTTTCTATTTTAAGCTGTTAATTTTGGCAATATTGAATATTTTTCATATCAGAGAGAGAATAAAGAAGGTAGCTTATAAAATACTTTATTCTGCTTCAATCCCATTATATTTTAATTACAAAATGGTTTGGAACTTTAATTGTATTTCATGGAAAATAAGATACGTTTTACAATACAATAAAATGATTGCGTTTGTAAATCGTATATCTTCGAGTTGTGAGTAATTAGACCTGCTATATGTGTAGCTTGAATTGTTAAAAAGCAACACAGTTGTTTAAATATAGATATAACATTTTTTTATTTTGAGAGCATTCTTAAGTTATAATGTGATCCTTCTGCTAACTTAATTTGGATAATCATATAACAATTTTGTATACTCTATTAAGAGCTTAATATATATTTTAACTCTATCCCTTGCCATACCTTATTTCTAATTGACTATTTACTATTTTTGAAGGTTTCAAATGGTAATTAGAATTACAAAAAGGAAACTATCTACCTTTTTATCTCCATATTTTATATAATAATTAATAAATATAACTTCCATTCCAAAATTTTATATTAGTCTTCTCCTTAAAAATAGTTATTATTTAAATAGTTATGTTGATTGGAAGCGTTGAATTAAATATAAAGGTCTATAGCTACTTTACTAGAAATATTCAATTGTAGAACTTTGAGGTTTCGATAAAACAATTGAGTTAGTAAGCGTACAATATTTGAAAAACTTGTGGCACCAAATGCTCATCATATTGAATGTTGCCTCAATTCAGATTTGATTTTAAATTTGTATAGTTAATTTATTTAAGAACACATATTTTAAATGTACCCCTCACTCCCAGAATGTCCTCCCTGGCCAGTGACGCTTAAACCGGCTTTGATCTGGCGACCACTTAAAGCCACTTGGCATTCAATCGGTATTTGAGCTGTCGCCGTAGTTGTATATTGTGGACCCATCCATCGTTGTCGTCCGCCTCCTACACCTTCTCCGCAGTGACGTTATTTAAGGATGGATTAACATCATTTTATGCTGCCCCGCTATGCTTTTTTGCAGGATTAAATGCTACGCTCTCTTCCCTGCCGGCGCACTTTTCATCCTTCTCAACGTTTTTCTTTTTTTTTTGTGCACGCTGTGCGCAGCTCTTTTGAATTGATTGCGTTGCACTTTTTACTGCTGCTGTTGTTGTTGTTGTCGCTATTGTTGTTGTTGCTGCTGCCACTGATGTTGCATAGTTTGCACTTCAGTGTTGGGCGCTGCACGCGCTCTTCACGCTCTTCTTGCTACAAAGTGATTTTTATGGCTTTTCGTGTGTGTCTCTCTGTGTATGCAAATGTTTGACTGTGCGTGTGGCTGTGAGTATGTGTGCGTGTGTGTGTGTGTGTGTGCAAAAGCACTTTGATGTTTCCGCATTACAAAGGCGGCACTTTAATGGTTCATATATCAAAAGAGAAAAGCTTGGCGCGGGCAGCGGCAAAGCTTTAATATTGCCTCCAACACGCATACGACATGTGGTACACAAAGCTAGCGGATTGCCATTCATAAGCTGCAAGCCTAAAATATTGGCATCTGCCATCATGAAAAATGGTTTATAATGTTCGCGGGCTGGTTATTCCACAGTTCGTCATTTTGGTTAAATTTAAAGTAATGTTGAAATATAAATGTTAAAAAATAAAAAACATACAACATGCAGTAGCGGTAAAAAAAAAATAGCAGTGCAGGAGGTGAAGTTTTTTTTTCAAAAACAATATTTCACTTAAAACTAGGAAACTTTATTAAGGTTTTAATTACTATTACATGCTCTTTATTTGGGGCTTACATTTTTACTTTAACAATGTGAAGGGTTTTGTTTTTAAATGGCAATAACTGCATTTCTTTGATTTTTGCGAACTTCCAGCTTGCTTCTTAGTGAATCAATCCTCCTTATTACACTAGTTTTATTTCCAAAATAATGTAGAAATCAAAAATAAAATAAACTCATGTTGTCCGGATATTAGAAAAGTCTAAATACCAAGTTTGTTGAATGTGGGCTCAACCATCTCGGAAATCCAGACGTTAATCCAAATAGACGGACGTGGCTATATGGATTCATCACATCATGCATTAAGAATATATATATACTTTATGGGGTTGGAAATGCGTCCTGCTGCCTGTTACATACTTTGCAGAAACCTAATACTTATACATTTTTTACCCAAGCGGTACAGTGTATAAAAAATGGATTGCAGTACAGTTTCAAATCAAGAATAACTTTATGATCTTGTACTGTCGATACACGTTGCCAGTCATGCTATATATTAAGCGCGCTATTATCAGATAATTCTGCAATTATAATAAAGAAGATCGTAGCAGTATGGTATGTGGGGGCTTGCTCCCAATAAAAAGCCCCAATCAGGCCCATCTTTTTACTAATTTTGCTTTAGTCAAAGGATATCACCAACTTGTTTCCATTCCTCTTCGCCACTTGTCATTTTCTCTATGATGTTATTCAGTGTGATGGATTGCTGACGATAGTTGATTGCTTTTTGCTGCAAATCCCTCAGATTGGAAGACTACATGTCTATCTTTTTTTCTGTGCTTTTGTTAATCATGAACAGGAAGGATAGAGCTAAAGTATCCTAGTCCTGTCATTGCGTTACATAGTAATCGAGTAATCGAATAAATCCATTTTCTAGTTCATCTATCTTGTAACAGATCGGAGGTTATGTTTTTGCAGAAGTCGATTGCTTGCCTAGTTGCATATACGAGAATGGCGAAAGGACGTATAATGTTTCCATAGGACCGGCTCTATTTGAAATCACACAAAGCAATAGCATGTCACTACCAAAGATTCCTTGCGAGGAGGTCCAACAGCACACTATCTTACTTATGCGCAATCTTATTGAGATACAGATGCATCGATATACACTCGTGTATTATATATATATAGTATTGGCTTATCTCAGTCCTCATCGGCACACCAAAGCGCAGCAATTGACAACCCTTATCCCTATGCTTATCTATGCAGCCTCATCTAGTTTCATCGCCCGCTCGGCAAACCAGATATCTTCATCTAAACACCGAACTAAATGCCAGGCACTAAATTGATTAACAGTAGCCCCCCAATGGAACGAGAAGTGCAGCCTTTGGGCCGCTGTCA